ATAACAAATAAAATAGGTTAGGTTCAACTTATGTTAAAGAACCGAATTGATTGACCCCGACTCCACCTGGTACGAGTCTGTCCTACCCCTAGAGTGGTTTTATAGAGCCGGAGGCGCGTAGGGGGAGCAGCCTCCGCCTGCTGTAACAAATCGTAGGCATCGGACGAGCGGGAGCGGCTGAGGCTGGTCGCCGAAGGCGACCAACAAGCCGAAGCTGCGGAGGCGAGGAGGGATGCCTGCGATTTGTTACGCTAAGGCGTAGAGGTTGCTCTTCCCGCAGCGCCGGAGACGTAGCAGTCTCAAAATAGATACAGAAATCCTTATGAATCAGTCCCCTTATTTTTTTTATGATTAAGGGGATTTTTTTCTCATAAAATTTATTTATATTTACATTATAAACGCAAACATGAAAAAAATATCGATATTTTAGAAATCGATTTTTTGGGAATCGATACATCTACTTACGATTTGAATCGATTTAAAAATCGACCTTTTTCGGAAAGTATCGACATCCCTATTGACGTCGACAATGACATTACAAATGGCGCCAGTTTATTAGCAGATTAGACATAAACATTGCAAGAATAATTGATTTTCAATTATTCTTTTCTCAAAAATTACGCGTTTCCGTATATTGAGACTTTGTGTGTGTGCTTATAATAGTGTAATCTTTCTGTAAAAATACATATCAACACCAAACTCCACTGACGTCAATGGAAAGTCGTACCCCGGTGAGAATGATGAGCCGGTACGGCATGCATTATACACCGGCGTCACTTGCCCTTACGCACACAGCATGCATTCCCCACCGGCATTAAGGACGCACCGGCAATCGGACTGCACTATTGACCCCCGGTCTGAGCAGGGGGGTGATGTGGCGGCGCTGTCTTCGCGCCACAAGCGAAACACATCGAAGCCTAAATCGCGCTAACAAAGTTCCGAAGTTAAAGCAGTATATATAGAATAGCTCCGAACTATCACTCGAAGCGTTGGCCGCTCCCCGAGCAAAAGACCTTGCCTGGTGGGAGATCTCCCTTTTCCTTCTCAACGGCTACACTAGTATCACTAGCTTGTGTTTGTTCCTAGTGTTTACATAGTGTATATATATAACACTTTAATTGCTATGAAATTCCTAATCTATATAAATAAAATGGTATGAGGTTTGCAGTTGTGAGTGTATCATGGAAAACCTACTGGAAAAATTTCAATAAGGTTTTCTAAGTTTTATTTCTTAGACATTTGACCCTTATCTAAAAAAAAAAACAAATTATTGCGATATCTTCATTTAATATAAAGTTACTTATATAAAAAAAAACAACAAATTTTATAAGCACTACATGTTCAGTGATGTGTTTTTTCTTTGTTAATATATTAAACAACACGGACGAAGTCGCGGTCATCAACTAGTCAAAAAATAATTGTACATCAGTCAGGCATAATATTATTCACTTTTACTCTTATTTAATTAATGTCTCATAAAATGGAGAAAGTAGGTTAACTAAAATTCTTGTGAAATATTGTGCAAATTAATTAGATGATACCTATGTTATGCTAATGATTTGTATTTTTCATCTATACAAATAAATAAAATTGAAGTGTCTGTTTGTAATGTCAAAATTACAGCTTTTTACTAAATGCATATGAAAGTATAAGCAGTACTTATAACAAAAATATAATTTTTAAAGTTTTTGTATGTCTGTCTGTCTGTTTGTTCCGGCTAATCTCCGAAACGACTGGACCGATTTTGACGGGATTTTCACTGGCAGATAGCTGATGTCACAAGGAGTAACTTAGGCTACTTTTATTTTAGATAAAGAATTAGGGTTCCGCACAAAAAATCAAAATCCCAAATAACACAAGAGCGAAGTCGCGGAGAACAGCTAGTTTTCTAGTAAAATTAAAACTTTTATCTTGTGTATGAATATTCTGCAGCTTATATAATATAATTTAAGATATTCTCAATTGTTAAATTATTCCAGTTATAAGTCTATGTGCAAACAAGGCCAAATTATCATACCCACAGCAGCCAGTTTCCCATTTTTAAATAATTATCTGGTGTTAGTTTCAGTGCAGATTCAGGGATAACTTTCTTTCACTAACAGTATATCTAAAGTTCACTTCTGAATATAAGCATTCCTATAGAGTGGCCCACAGGATAATCAGCAGTACATATAGTAGTGGATAACTACAACAGTGCCATGCTGCAACTATTAGTAGTATAGTTGTAGCACAAAATGGGTCGGCTCGGCCGGGGAAGGACCACACTTTCACAGAATACCAGCGTAAAATAGCATCTTAACACTGCTGTGTTTCGTATGGTGAGTGTAGAGAACCGGAGAACTTTTTTACAGGAAAAGAAGCATTCCATCTTAGTCCTCACGGGTGACAACGCATCTGCAGTTTGATTCTTTATTGAGGATAGATGTAGATGTCTATGGGTCACAGCAACCACTTACCATCAGGTGGGCTGTGTGCCCGTTTGTCAACCTATCCTATAAAATAAAAAACTTCAGCTTTAAATAACTTCTTGTTTGTTTTCAGAAAGATGCTGCTGGCCATCGTCTGTTTCATTTCCCTCTGTCTTCTTTAACAACACCCACCGGATAATATGGGGTAGTGGATTCTCTTACACCGCAACTACATGGCGATAAAAACAACAGAATAATCACGACTTACACATTGCATAGAAAAGTTTGCTTGATATTCCTCTTGCGTTCATCTAGAAGCCAGAGTTTAAAACATATGGTGCAGAAGTGAGTGGCAGAGTAGACAAGAGACACACTAGATGGAAGTTTATTAACCAAACTGGCAGTAGATATGTTGGTGTAAAGGAAACAAGAAGTATCAGGTTTGTGCCAAAAGAAATTCCACAGTTACTGCCTACCCTTTTGGGTGACAGGGCATGAGAGTTAATGTTGTATTTACTTGTAAAAATTAAAATAAAATATTATTGAAAGAATTCATTTTAAACTTTGGATAGGTTTGCACATACCTATTTCAGAATTATTTCACCTAACCTATAATAACTGGCCTATTATGCCTTTTTTTTCCTGGTTTGGCAACTTCCAATGGATTCTGCCAGCGTCAAGTATTTCATGAGAGTCACACAGATTATTGACTAGTCTCCGTTTCCGTAGATGCGCTTACTTAGCTTTATGTTACGAACTTACTTATGTAGTTATTTTCTAATGAATTAACATTATAATAGTTTTACAAAATTATTGCTAATTGCTAATATAATAATATGGATATAGGTAAGTAGCAAAAGTACTGTAGTTTAATGTTATTAATGGATAAGAAGTCTAATAAAGTTTGTACAAAAGGAGTTTAAACTAAATTTAACAAAGACTTAAGATTTAGAGGATGAGGGATTTTATTAGGAAGAAAATCGTATAATGAAATAGAGAGGGTAGTTAAAAAATTTATGATTAAGATTAATTTATGATTTAAGAGTATTATGCCTTGTTATATAATATGTAAATACCCTAATCATGTAAAAACCATTTCGGTGCATATTATGTTATTTTTACAAAGATTGAAATTGGAAAAAATTGTTTTACTGTCTTGCTGTTTGTTTTCTTTTGTCATATTGTATGTGGCAAAGAAATATATTTCTTCCTTTATTTATATGCTACGAGGTGATACTGGGCAGTTTATTATATTTTTTACAAATAGATGAAAACAAAGTGACAGACAGTGGGATATTTAGCCCAGAACATGCTACTTAATCTAATTTTCATAGGCTCTTTACTTGACAAAATAAAGATATAGAAATATGTACATACATAATAATATGTAATTTATTTATTTTCAGTTAATTAATTATAAAGAATATTGATAAAGAATAAAGATAATTGGTCTGAAATAAATGAATTATTATATTCATTATACAGTTTCAGAGTAACAAAGAAAAACGCAAAACTCACCACTAACAGAAAAAAGGAAATTGTTTAATATGCTAAAAAAAGTTTACATAAAAATTACAGGTAAATATTAAATTACAAAATATTATTTATAAAGTAAATAAAAATTGTGTAAGTAATGTGGAGTAGGTGACAACAATTATAAGTATATTAAACAATATAATTTATTTTTATTTTTAACCCCCGACGAAAACAGAGGAGTGTTATAATTATGTTTGTAGTGTGTATCTGTTTGTGGGATCATAGATCCTGAATGGATGAACGATATCAAGTTTTTTTTTTGTTTGAAACATGGTCTTAATCAAGAGTGTTCTTGGCTATATTTCAAGAAAATCTAGCCATTTGAACATCATCAGCTCTTTTTGTTTTGGTGTTTTTATTTTTTCATTTTAGTTATATCATATTATTATGACCAGCAAGTAAAGGTTACAATATATGGCTGTTTGTCTAGCAAGGACTGCTTCAGTCAAATTCTTCACACTATTCACAATGAAATTGTCCAGCAGTGCACTGTTACCAACTGTTGCAACCTATTTAAAAGCAAATCAATTTTATGTAAATATTTGAAAATTTGAACATTAAGCACTTCACTAACATTATCTACTCAAATATTTTATTTGTATTATTATATATTTATCATTTCTAATAAAAGTAAAAGCTTTACATATGTACTGGAATAATCCTGAAGTGTATGATTGAAAACACCCTTGTGTATATTTATATTTTGCGGCAAGCTTGTACCTCTGTCCGTTGGTGTACATAAAACAATGTTATTTATTTAGATTATGATAATAAAAGCGTTAAACCTTTAACTGTATATAACTATAACACGTATCGATATTTTGATTACAGATTACATGAGTCACCTTTAACAGAAATACTCCGTCGATTAGATACTGACATAACCTTAGTTTATACAAATAGAATTTCGTACAACTAATACAAAACTCACTTGACCAGCAATTTATTACAACTGCGACGTACTGTGAACAAATAGAATACAAATAAAGGCACTAACCTACCATATACATAATTAAAAATTCTAAATTAGATGAATATAATAAATTACAGACTTACCTCAAAAAGCTTCAAAAGTATGTTCACATATAATCTCCGAACGCCTAGAGATTTTCCAATTGATGCTAAGAATATAATACACAATATTAAAAGCAAAAACGGCGTGTAAAGTATAGAAACCGCAACAGACACAAACGGCATAAGCAACGCCATCTTGCCGACTGACTGAAAGCTGAAACTGATTGTGTCTGGTTGACAGTGTTGCCAAGCCTTGACCTGGCCTTTTTTCAAGACGTTCCTGATTTGGTCTAGAAATGTCCGCCTAGGTGTACCCCTTCCAACACTTTCAATCACACTCGCCCTGTCATATTAAAATATTTTTAATTGAAAACCCCTTGGTTTTAAAAATCATAACCCATTTATTTATTTAAAAAAAGATTCTCGGTCTTGTCACAAGGTTTTGTCAAACTTGTTTAGTCGTTGAGAAAATGGAATTGACTCGAGAAAATTCAAGAGCGATGATTTATTATGACTCGAAGTGGTTTAACACAAAAACAGTGTGTTGACCGGATTATTTCTGCATTTGGTGATGAAGTCCCATCCAAAACCACAATTTGTCGCTGGTTTGCTGAATTTCAATGTGGACGTGTCAAGCTCAGTGATGATCCCCAATCAAGGTCGTCCAAAAACTGCAGTCACCCAAGAAAACGTTGATGCTGTGCGTAAGCTGATTGAGGAAGATCGACATGTGACATACCGCGAAATTCAGGCAACTTTAGACGTTGGCATGAGTCAAATACAAATAATCTTGCATGAATAATTAGGTGTAAAAAAGTTGTTTTCCCCATGGATACCGCATTCGCTCTGTGAAGAGCAAAAAGCGGCTCGCGTTAGGTGGTGCGTCAGAACTCTCGAAAGATTCCGCGCAGGATCCTCAAATGCTGTATACAACATCGTATCAGGTGACGAATCCTGGATATACGCGTACGAATCCGAAACAAAAAACCAGCCACGAGTTTCGGTGTTCGAAAATGAGTTAAAGCCAACAAAAATCGTTCGTTCACGGAGTGTTGCAAAAAAATGGTGGCCACGTTTGTCTCCAAAACCGGCCATGTTACGACTATTCCTCTTGAGGGACAAAGAACGGTTAATGCAGAATGGTATGTTAGCATTTGTTTGCCACAGGTCATTTCTGAACTCCGTAAAGAGAACTGCAACCGCCGCATTATCCTCCATCACGACAATGCAAGTTCTCACACCGCACACAGAACAAAATAGTTTTTAGAGCAAGAAAACATAGAATTATTAGACCATCCGCCGTACAGCCCCGACCTAAGCCCTAATGATTTCTATACTTTCCCTAAAATAAAGAATAAATTGCGTGGACAGAGATTTTCATCACCTGAAGAAGCTGTGGACGCCTACAAAACGGCCATTTTGGAGACCCCAACTTCCGAATGGAATGGTTGCTTCAATGATTGGTTCCACCGTATGAAAAAATGTGTCAAATTGCGCGGAGAATACTTCGAAAAGCATTCCTTGATTCCCGAAATTTTCAGTGCCGCCCTCGTACACTCACAGCAACGTTAAGCTGATATTTTAACTATTGTGAGACACCATATTAGCAGTATAGTTGCAGCATGGCCATATCATGTACACATAAAAAAAGCAAAGTGGTTAGTATTAAAAAGAAAATGGTCACGGGAGGACTGAAGTGATTGACGTCCCGATTTCAGAGTTATCCCGAGTAACTTAAGAATAGAATACCTTAAGATAAAGAAGTTTCACTTCAATAAAACAAAGTTTAAGCCATCTTTGCCCGTGTTTTATATTTTACTTTATTACACTACCTGTGGCCGGTATGCGAGGCAAATTGCAATACAATTTTTAATACAGTTGCTCAAGAAGTGGTGTATTGCAGGGACGTATAGCGTTCGGGATGTGGGCTATTACATACTCGAGCTTTTTCTTTATCTTTTCCGAACTCGTGCGTTCTCTTTCCAACTATAAAAATAATGTGTGTTAAAAAGAAAAAGCCAACCAAGGTTTTACTAAAAAAAATTCATGGAAGTTTTTATGATTCTTGCAAATATTTCTAAAAAGAAGGTACTAATTTGTTTCAATATCAGATTTAATGATTTGATTCAATGATAACTCATTGAATCAAATCATTAGTAGTTAGGTTTCATTTCATTTTATCTCATTAAATTTCATTTTCATATCATATCAATAAAAAAATTCTACTGAAGATTTGGCTGTATGGGTATAATTCCCTATGCCTACCCAGAATGCTTTAAGAAAACAAAAAAAATCTCTGCTTTTATTCTTTTACAGTTGGCGCCATTTTCCAAAACTGTTCTTTGTGAGTTTAGTTGTTTGTTGCACAAAATGAGTAATTTCGACGATATTTTATTTAAATGAACACCACAGGAACTCAGTATAATTGCACAAAATTCTTTGGAGAACATTTTACCGGAAAAGTCAAAAAGTCGCTACATATCTACATACGACGGTTTTATTGCGTGGAGAGAAGAGAAAAAGCAAAGTTTTCAGAAAATGTTATGTTGATAGTTTGTCTCAAACAGTAAATATGCAACCTAAAACTTCCCCAGTTAGTATAAAAAACTGTACCAATTTCAATGTATATGTGAATTATAACTTTTATAAGAAATAAATGATTGGTTTGTTGAGTTTATTTTGTATCTATTATTTTATTAAATTGCTTCATTTTTTCGCAACGGTATTAAAAATAGTTGTTCAGTACACGTGCGGAACCGTCATTGCAACTTGTTCCGACTGTCAACCCTCACCTTCGGCTGCGCCTCGGCTCGGGTAGATATTTGTCGGAACTCTGCAATGACAGGCTTTCCGCACCCGTAATGAAATATACTATTTTTGGCTGAAGTATTCACGGAATTGCGCGCAAAACGACAAACCAAATTTTTCATCGTCCTCAGCCGAATAAGTAGTACGCATAAAAAAATAACAAGTAAATAAAATAATATTATATTTTTGTGCATTTGATGCATGTATTTATATTGTGTTTTCTCTATTTTCGACAATATGTTTATTATAGTAGTACAATTTATTGCACCCGTCGCTCACCTCGTGCCGCGGCGCGGCGAGCTGCAGCAGGCGCAGGTTGCGCAGGGGGCAGCTCTGCGGGATCTTCCTTCTTATTAGCCCCCCGGCTAAAAAGGGTCACCTTGGCACCGCTGAAGGGACTGCAGTATCACCCAAATTTTGACGGAATCAAAGGCTTTCTCATAGTCCACATACGCCAGACATAGTGGCAAATTGTACTCCTCGGACATCTTTACAATTTGCTGAAGTCTATGTATGTGGTCTATGGTGCTAAAGCCCTTTCGGAAACCGGCTTGTTCGGGAGACTGGAAGTCGTCAAGTCTGCACGCGAGACGATTCGTAATGACTCTCGAAAACAGCACGTAGACGCGGCTCAGAAGGGAAATCGGTCTGTAGTTCTTCAAGAGAGCATTGTCACCTTTCTTGAAGAACAAGTCCACCACACTTCTGCTCCACTCCTCCGGTATAATGCTACCATTGAGGACGCAATTAAAGAGCTTCTGAAGGACTTCAAGTACCGGTTTTCCACCCGTTTTCAGAAGCTCCGCTGTAATTCCATCCTCGCCTGGGGCCTTGCCGTTTTTAAGGTGCTGGAGAGCCATTCTAATCTCGCTCAGACTGACGTCCGGGAAATCATCAGGATAGTGTCGGATAAGACTCGCTCTTGGATGGTTACTCACACTTGCGTGTGGCTCCAACGACGATGTGTACAAGTGCCCATAGAACCTCTCAATCTCACTCAAAATCTCAGGTGTCCCGGAAACGACGCTGCCACACTCGGTCTTCAGCTTCGACAGTTGGCTCTTTACGGCAGACAGATATCTAGCAAAAACTTTGGAGCCTTGGTTCCGCTCGATCGCTTCTTCAATACGAGCAATATTAAAGTTGCGTAAATCCCGCCACGTGCATTTGGAGATCTGTCTGTTCAGTTGCCTGTATGCTGTCAAATCTACTGAAGACTGCAGCTTCATATCGAAGAACTACAGAGAATAATGTAATTTCAAGTTCTAGGACATATTGTATGTAGATAATTTTTTTTATAGGATAAGGGTGATAAACGAGTACACAGTCCACCTGATGGTAAGTGGTAGGTCTTCCACATAGACATCTACATCTATCCTCGATTACAAATCAAAATGCAGATACGCTGTCACCCCTGAGGACTAAGATGGAATGCGTATTTTCCAGTAAAAAGGGTCTCCGGTTCTCTAAACTTTCCATAAGAAATAGCTTTTATGTTGGTCTATTGCGCACCTCGCGCCATCAAGTCAGGTGTCGGGACGCTCACTCACCCACGGCGTCCCCTGTACCGGGCAGTGAGCGTAGAAGTTCACGTGGGAGTGGTCGCCCGTCAGGTAGGCGGGCATGGAGCGGAGCTAAGTTCTGAAGATGGGGATGTGGCCCGTCATCTGCGCGGTCGAACAACCGTCTCGCAGAACAGACTACAAATTTTTGGATTGATTCGACCTTGAGGTCGCGTGAGATGACATCGTTCCTGACGTAGCGACCGGCTCCCACGATCACCCGAAGCGCAAGATTTTGCTGGACCAGCAACCTCTTGCGCTGAGTGGCCGAGGTCAACGCGTACCAGGCTGGTGCTGCGTAGGTCAGCCGCGAGCGGACGTAGGTCTTGTAGATACCTATTTTCGTTTTTGTTGAGAGTTTGGATGCCAGTATAGGATAGAGTTTCGCTCGCGTAGCTCTGGCCTGTCTCACGACGTGATCGACCATCGGGGTCATGCGCAGCGAGCGATCTATCTGGCATCCTAGGTACGTGATGGTATTACTACAACCAACATCCTGCCCGCGGAGTTGCAGAGTTGGTGGTGTTCTGGCCAGCCTGTCGACTGAAGGCGACGGTCTTCCCGACGTTGACCGCCAGCCTCCATTTGTCCAGCCACTCAGGCAAAAGGTCGAGTACCCGCTGCAACCTCTTGGCAGCTATGTCCACCCGACGTGAAGACGCGAAGTACGCACTGTCGTCGGCGTATAAAGCAAGAACTACGTCATCTTCCCATCCCTCCAGATGGCCTTGAAGGGTGGGGATGTCGTTGGTGTAAACCGCGTATAGTTCCGGTGATATGCAGCTGCCCTGTGGCACTCCGGCTAAAATCGGTCGTGCCGCCGAG